CAAGTTTAGTCAGTTTATCGAATATTACAATATTTTTTTGATTGGATAAGATCTAACAAGAGTTATGAGGTTTGCAAAAATTTGCTTATTTGATGTCAGCGGAAAAGTAATCCTTGCCAAGTTTTCTACTCTTACAATGCTTTAGGTGGAAATTTTGTTCATACAAACTTATTCACTAGGCTTGCCTCTATGAGTAAGCATGTACCGAGCTTTTTTTGCGTTATTTTCGAGTATTTTCGTATTAAAGCTTAAGCTGCGAAATAAAAAGCTAAATCGTGTAATCTAACATCAAAAAATAAAGAAAATTTTATTCTATTAGATGAGACATATCTCATCACTGTACAGCAATTCTTTTGGCTTTTGTGAGAACTTTACAAACCGAGCCTGACCGAGTCTAGGCTCGGTGCTGGGCTCGGTCAGGCTCGATCGAGACATTTTTTTGCACTGCAAATAAAAATTAGAATAACTGCAACACAGAACTCTGGAACGTCTCATTTTGTAGAAAAACGTTTTGTCTATCTTTTGATAGGTTCGGTCACAAGATTCAACCTTTCATTTCAGCGCTCCAGGTTGTAATATAAAAGTGTTGAAAAATAACGAAAAAAAGCTCGGTACATGCCTATCTATCAGGTAACAATGTTATCGTTTTAGAAGAATTATCATTTTATTGACGTTGCAGACTCCTCCATGATGTGTCTGACGATGAAATTCAGCACACTATGAAAAAACAGAGGTTTTGTGAATCATTAAATTATACGCTTTAGTGCCATTGGTTTGCAAAGAAACTTTGTATGTACAAGTGCCTACTCATCAGGTATATTATTTCCAAATTAGAAGACAATTAGATGTTGCGTTGCAGAAATATAAAAACCAAGTTAAACGGTGTCGTAGTTTTGATATAAATTAGGGCATTTAAAAATCGTTGAAAATATCTAAATCTTAGAACTAAGTTTTGTCCTTACTGAATTACAACAGATCGTTTTAATTTTTATGTCGTACACAACTGAGATGTCCTACTTATGTGGACTGTTGATAATAAAAGGATTCATTGTAACTTTGTAAGGAAAAAACAAATTTTAACTTCAAAATTTAGATATTTTTTCTTATGTTATACATGCTCTAATTTACAGCGAAATTACGACATTAATTAACTCTTTTTTACATTTCTTCAAAACAACCTCGAATTGTTTTGTAATTTGAAGATATTATCTAGTAGGTTGCCACTTGTACATATAAAGTTTCATTGAAAACTAATGATGCTAAAGCATATATTGTAACGTATTACAAAATCTTAATTTTTTCATGGTACGCTGAACTTCATCTTCAGACACTTCTTGGAGAAATCTGGAATGTCCAAGAAAACGATATTTCTTCTAAAACAAAAAATATGTCATTTCATAGAGGAAAGTCCAGGAAATAAACTTTCCAGAACAAAATTTTCCTAAAAGACATTGTGAGAGTAAGAGGCTTGGTATGGATTATTCTTTTTGCTGACATCAAACAAGCAAATTTTGCAAACCTCATAAATCTCATTAGATCTTATCCAACCAAAAAGACTTTGTAATATTCTACAAAGTGACCAAACTTGAGGACATTTTGTGGATGGGAGGAACATCCCCTTAAATCATCTTGTTTTATACCTGGATTGAAAGATTGTTGAGTCGGTACTGTTCCAGTTGCTACTTGTTGTCCATCGAGATTTTGATAAACATAAGTTGGTTGACCATTTGTTGGTATAGGAACATAATCCGTGATTGGACGAGTATATTTTTTATAATAATCATCAATCATTGAATTATTATATTGACGTACAACAGTAGATCCACGTTGATATGAAACACTAGTATCATCTGGTGCTAGCCATTTCAAATTTCCTTCATCAAGGGTTGGTGGAACATATCCTCCAATATCAACTGGCATGTGTTGTTGTGGTTGTGGAAATTGAAATGTTCCAAAATCAGTATTTTGTCGCTGTTGTTGCGGAAATTGAAATGTTCCAAAATCAGCATTTTGCCGTTGTTGTTGTTGTTGTGAATCTTGACGTGTTTGCGCGGAATTTAAAGAAAGGCCGGCTAAATTTTGTGTTAATACATTTTCATTATATTGTGGTGGAAAATTATAGACGGAATTCGAAAACATAGTTGACCGTTTAAATTTCTACTATGTATAACAATGAATCGTCCTCTTTCGTTATTAAATGATGTTGGAAAAATGGCGAGTAATACACGTTTGGTGAGATGGATAATGATATGGTTCGCTGAACAAGCGAACGCGATAGATAGTAAGTGACTTTTGCCCGTGCTCATCAAAAAAGAAAAAGAAAACGAGAAATTATCAACAGCGGTCGACTGTCATTTCGGATGAGCTATGAGCATCGATCATCTCTTTTGATATACGTATGCATTCTAATGAGAAGCTTGGCCATTTATGTAATCTTATCGTTCGAATGGCTATTTGAGTCCATTCGACATGAAGTAGAAAAAAAAGTGAAAGGCAACATTCTTGCTTGTTATCGTTAATATTTTATATATAATATAATGATTCTGGTTTGAGTGAAATGAATGATCTTTCTAGTTCATTTTGAAGTTATTGAATTTTAGCTTCAAGATTCTTTAAAAGTTGTGCTCAGTAAAGTGTCTTATAGAAGAATATACTTAAAGAACCAAAAAAAAGGAAGTTTATTTTTTTTCGTCTGAAAGCATGGCAGAATACAAAATAAATGGCTTTCTTTCTTTCTTTCTTTCTTTCTTTTTAAATTTGCATTGCTTCAAGCGCGATGCGATTGTCAACAAAAGATGAATGTTATAATGAAGAACATTTTAAAGAAATTTCTAATGCATAACATTGAATGAAAAAGTGGCAGTTTAATATTTGGTATGCTTGCTTTATTTTTTATGTTAATCTATCTAGTAGTAGAACCTAATTTATGTAGTCGACGTCGACCTCGTTCTGCTCGATACTATCAAGTATTTGGTCGAGGACCTGAATATCCATGTTGGATATTTTTTTTACAATTTATTGTCGGTAGTTTGAAATGTATAATTTATTATGGTCTTATTTTTTTACTTATCAAATGGTATTTATGGCCAATAGTAGCACCGAAACTAATGAAATATTCACTAGTTCAAACGACACTTAATCGTTCATCATCTCTTATTGATCGTCTAAAAGCAGATAGAAAACTACCAATCGAATGATTTTTTGTTTATAGTTGTTCGATTACAATAAATTATGCCATGAAATAAAAGACCTGAAATAAATAACAACAGTCAAAATCGATAGCATAATAAGTACGAAAGGATAGTGAAAACAAGGACATTACATCACAAGAATATGAATATCTAATCGATATTGTTTATTACATAATCATGATCTTAGTTTTGCTCAATGTTCTGTATTTTTAATAGCCAAAACTATAATCAATATTCTTCAATATAGAAACAAGGATGAATTTCTATTCTTTTTCTATTAATAGAAAAGTTCAATCCCAAAGATAAGTAGTTAAATAGATCATACTTTATAGATTTCTCAAATTATGAAAATCAATCAAATTCCTTGGTATGATTATTGAAGTACATAAATATTAATAGGATGTTAAAACTATATTGGAAGTTCTTCTATACTATACTATACAAACAAGTATGATTTGATTTGATATAAAAGTTACCAAGAGTCCAATAAGATATTATCACAGACAACAACAAAAAATCATCAACTGCGTTTTACTTCATGTTGATTGTGAAGAGCAGAAAGGCGAAACGATAAACATTATGAACTGAATAATTAGAAGTGTAAGCCAATATGCTTAGCCGTCGCTGATCACTCCGACATTTTTAAGATATATTCGTCGTGATGCCAAAGTCTGACACTTTTGCAACCAACTTCGTTGATCGATGTATTGCCTTACACATCTATGTATAATACTTAGTTGCATCGACGTGCTATAGAAAGGCCGAAAAGAAAAATATTGAAAACTTCAACTAACAAGACATTCTTTATTTTTGGTATGAAAAGTATGCATCTGGCATGTGGGTGGGTGTTGCAATCTTCTCTTCACCAACACTCACATCCGTCCTGGAAACATCACTTTTTTCAATATTTCTCTTGTTTCAACATTTTCTCTTTCGGTCTTTGCACGACCAACCGTCAAATATAAGACAATGCTTGGTTAATGCTAATTGATTTATTTCATTGGTTTGTTTTTTTCTATGAAAACATTTCGAAATCTGAAGTATATTTAACAAGCTTTCCAGAATAATAAGAAGAAGATACAACAATCTATACAGCAGAACTTCATTCTGTTATGATTTGATTTCATAAGGCTCTGTTTCACAATTCATTGTTAGTTTGCACAAATAATAAAAACTTTTTTTTTGAGAATATTTGGCAATTTATTTGAATAGATTCAAAAAAAAAGAAACAAATGTTAACAATATTTTGAAAAAATGTTCGATGAATAATATAAGATAAACATACATGCAGAAAAAAACAACACACATACATTAACAAAAAATGAACGAAGGACTAAGACATAACAAAAAGAAAACACACGTCAATGTAGACAATTTTTCAACAAGGACAAACTAAAAAATTCTTTCTTTTTTTTGTCTTTTTTTTTTATTATTTTATACTTTTTTTATTTTATTTTTTTGTTTTTATATGGCACAGATTTGAAATGCTAATATATAACAACTACAATGTACATTCCTCATTTTTTCTTTGTCGATGTTTAATAGTTAACAAATATTATTTGTGCAGGTCGCCTCGGTGAGCGCCGAACTGTAATAGAGGGCCTCGCCTGCGTTCTTTCGACCGCACACTGTCCAGCGCGCCTTCACTCTGTACAATAATCTCCTAATTCGGAGTGTGTCGCTGCTCACACCTCGCCACCATTATCTCTTCTAGTAAATAATAAGTATGGCTCGTCGCATATTTACGAACACTGTTCGTTTCACTGTTGCGAGTTTCGTCCTGTCCCTCCAACTCATTCCTTCATTTCTTTAACTTTTAGCATTCAACATTTTCATACGTAATTTTAAAGGCATCATATCACCTCGAGGTTCATGTGATTGTGTATGAGTTGTAACTGTATTATGTTGTTCTCCAATACAATTTGATGATTGTTGTAATGGTGGCATTGAAAAAGAATTGTTTGATGATGTAGAAAAATAATTCATTAATGTTTTTAATTGACTTAATGAATTAATATTATCTTGATGATGAAAATTTTCACCTTGTATGTGTTGTTGATTATTACTATGATAATCAATTGTAGCTCGTGGAGGGTTTGATTTACGTAATAAACCATTAATAACTGATTGACAAACAGATTGAAGTGCTGTTTGTTGTTCAACAGGTGATGGTGGAGGTGGTGGTGGTTTATTTAATGAAAGTAATGTCATTGCTGCTTCATCCCATTTTTGTTGTTGTTGATCATCTGGTTGTAATTGATCAAAATTTCTTTTTAATGATGATATTATTGGTTTTGATTCCGTTGGTGAAGCTATTGTTAATAAACGTGATGATGTTACTGTATCTTGTTGTTTTGTTTTAAGAATTTGATTGGCAAGAATTTGTAATAATGATTCATTTGGTGGTGATGGTGATGGTGTTAATGGTGATGGACTTTTATTTGGAACTGTTGTTAATAAATTTCCTGTTTTAACTTCAGTACGACTTAAATCAACTGCACCATTATTATTAGTAGTAGTAGTATTATTATTATTATTTCCAAGTAATTGATTATAAAGCAATGGATATTGTACACGTGTATTTGAAGAATTATCATCAAATGTTGTTGATTCAACTTCTTCATCATCATCATGTGTTTCAGATGATGAATAATTTTTCGGTCTTGTTGATCGTGATGAATGATCATCGTCATCACTTATAAGAGAACGTTGAGTAAGAATTGTTGATGCTGATGTTGCCGGTTTAAGACATATATGACCAAGACGTTGTTCTTCTTCAAATAAACTTTCCATTTCTATTTCTTTCATATTTAAACGTGATAACATTAAATTAAGTTTAGCTTTTAATGCCTCATTTTCATTTGTTAATTCAACAACTTTGGTTTCTATTGAATAACAATAAAAAAAAAAGATAATCTTGAATTTATTTAAAGAAAAATTTTTACCTAAGACAATATCATTGAGACGCCGTTTTTCACGTGAACGTTTAGCAGCTAAATTATTTTTACGTCGTCTTTCCCAATAATGATCATCTTTCATTTCATTTGGAATAAAATCACGACGTTTTCGTGCTGGTATAACATCTTTTCGTAATAATAATTGTGTTAAAAATTCTTTATCAATACATTGTGGTCCAGCTGTTGTAACAACTTTAACAATTTCACGATCACTTGCTGAACTTGTACGGGAATCCGTTGCAGATATTAATGGTACTTGAGAAGGAGGTTCATTTGGCATTGGTATTGTTTTTCTATAAAATAAAAAAAAAACTTATTAAAGTATCAAAACAAAAACAAAAGCAACATACTTTATACGTTTTATTTGTGATTCTAATGTTAAATCAGATGATGATGATGATGATATTTGTTGTTGTGTTAGAGCATAAAGCATATTTAATTGTGATTGTAAATCATTACTAAGTAAATGAGGTGAACGTACAAATGGAGATGTTGATGAACGTAGGAGATCATTCGATTGCATTTTCTATTATTATAATTATAAACTATGTTTCTTCATTGAATATTTAAATAAATAAGATATAAACCTGAATGCTAGTCATCATTATTCTTGTCGAATAATAATAACGATGATATACGTCTGTTCGCGTTGGACTCGGATACGAAACTGACCTTTCTTTCTCTCTATATTTTACTTGTTTAGTTCTCTTTTTCTCTCTTTTTCATTTTATTCTCTCGTTGGCCTAGTTCACGAGTCTTTATTATTTAGGACAAAGAGCAATACAAAGCATCTGTGGACATGTCTGCGGTCATTATAGACTAGGTCAAATCGACCCTTTTTCTTGTTGATCGTTATGCTCCTATTCTCTCTCTTATGAGTATATACATGCACAATACTCTCGTCGGACATTGGCTGTTCTATGCTCATTGACCTTATATTCATGTATATTTGTTCTTTTTCCTATCGTGTTCATGATCGAATGACCACTGAGTGCATGTATAGAGAAAAGAGAATAAAAAGCCATTATCGAACGGATGACCGACAACATGATGTGATGACCTTCTTCTTCTCTATAACTGAGATTAAAAAAAAAAGAGAGAAATGGGTCAACAGGATCAGAAAAAAAAATAATGAGAAAAAAACGATTATTTCAAGTAAAGAATCTTTTCTTAGAAAGTTATTTAAATCTCATCAATCTTATTTGAAAATTTAATGAAAAAAACGAACATTTTATCGGTGCAATTGATTGTTTTCGAGGAACGTTTGATGAGAATTCATGTATACTATAGGTTATGATTTTGTTTGTTCAATTCGTTTTTTTTTCTCGGTTATGACCTTATTATGGACCGTTCATCGTTTACATTGTCTATATCTACATAAGGAGGTCGCACTGACCGACATAATTCTTTTCTCATTACTTGAAAGTACACATATGTGAGTGAGTATGTGTCGGTCACACAATGTGTGAGTTCGATTGACCGATAATAAATGTCAGTCTAGATGGTTTGTCCTTCTGTTTGTTATATGTTGCAAATAGAAACCTAAATGATTATTTAGTAGAATGAATAATAATATGCTTTGTCTTTCTTATTGTATGATCAATTTCATTGAAAATGTATTGTTTAATAATAAAAAGATATGATAAAGAAAAAGCCTAGGAGATGATGAAAGGGTTAGAGGTACTACACGTGCACATTTATTTGCGTATATTCGTCGTCGTCATTTATCACAAGGCATCAAGAAATACGCGACAATAAGAAATAATCATCAGCACTAGAAACTTAGTCATCGGTTATTGCGTACATTTTTTGTCATCTATAACATTGTTGTCAGGTTTTTCTTATATATGTACGAGATGCAGCAATATCGACGCAAAGAAAGCACAAGAGAAGATCAGATGATGTTGCAATCTGTAACAGAAAGGAAATGATTCAGGGTCAAAGGGCAGTACGGATTATTACATATAAATATTGGAAGAGAAAAATTAGATGATGTAAGAAAAAGAAGCTAACATACAACTCGATTCTGAAAAAAAAGAAAAAATGACTGATGATATCAGCGACAATAATAAAGATGAAGATTCACTTTTATTACTTCTTCGAGATGCTATTGTACAACATTTACCATTAAATGATATTAAACTCATTCTCAGGTATTTTAATTTATCTAAAGAAATCATTTCATTATTTTTCTTTTAGTTGTAAATATGTAGATATTAATGGATGTGTTCGTCATGGTCTGAGACCACTACATTATGCTGTATTTGAGAATGATTTAGAATGTGTTCGGCTCTTTGTTGAAGAATATGGTGCAGATGTTAATATATTAGATGAAGCCGGTTACTCACCATTACATCTAGCTGCAAAATATGGTTTTCTTGATATAATGCATATTTTAATTGATCATGGTTCTCTTGTTAATTTTCATATAGCAGTCAATAATAACCAAACTCGTTCATTGGTTACACCTTATTATGATGTTATGACGGAACCATTGAGTCTTTGTTTGGAAAACAATCATCTTGAATGTGCTCGTTTACTTCTTCTTGCTGGTGCTGATGTTAATCAACAGTATTTTCTTGGCTATGAAATAAATTTATTATCTTATGAAAATTATAATTCATTAGAATTAATTCTTAAACATGGTGCTAATGCAAATGCTCTTTCACGTAGTGGTATAACACCATTAATAAAAGCATGTCGTGAAGGAAATTTAGGTGCAGTCACATTATTATGTCGTTATGGAGCTAATGTTAATTATGTCACAAGAAAATTTCGACAAAGAAATGCTCTTGTTACAGCTATTGAATCTAAACGAAGTGACATTGTTGAACAATTATTAGCTCATGGAGGTTTTACCAATAAACATCCAGAGCTTTGTAATTCACCATTGGAATTAGCTATTCGAAAAGATACTATTGAAGTAATTCGAGTTTTAATCGGTATATAAATTAATTCTTTTTTTATTACGATAAGACGTATTATATTTATTTTTAGCCTTTGGTGCTGATACAAATGAAGAAACAAATGAAGATGTTGAATGTATAACGCCATTAATTCTTGCTTGTCAATGTTCATATCTTCGAAATCAATATAATATTGTGAAATGTCTTCTTGAAAATGATGCTAAACCAAACCAATCTGTTGCCAATAATCCACAACATCATCATCAACATACACCTTTTCGAACACCATTAGTTGCTTATATTAAGCATGCTCAGGAACGTCGACTTGACATGCGTATTATCCGTCTACTTATTGGCTACGGTGCTCGAATATCATTTTCACGTGGACGTGGTTTGTACATATATTTATATTTTTCTACTTATTGAAAAGTTATTCTTTTTTTCTTTTAGATAGTGTTCTTCGGTTTTTACGTCGTTTTCAATCAAATCCATATTTAATTGAATTACTTTGTGATGCAGCTTATTGTTTTCATCCAAGTTATATAGCTGAATGTAGAGAACTTGATGAAAAAACAAAAGAAGAAATTTATCGACGTGCAACAACACCACGTACATTGAAAACTATACTACGTAAACAAATTCGGGCATATATATTTGATTCACCAATGAACATACGAATTGATCGAGCAATACAAAAACTGGATTTGCCCGATTTTCTTCGACGTTATTTACTCTTCGAAAACGTTTAATGAACAATGACATTTTTCTTTTCTTTGTACATAGATATGTAACGATGACTAATAAATAAACTATCCGGTGCCAAGCACTATGCAACACTAGCGAATATATCTACGCATAATAATGCCGTAAGAGACTCAAGACTAACGAGGGAGGTTGCTTGAAGTGACAAATTGCTTTTTCATAGAAATATAAAATGAATGTATACAGTTTATTGCTCTGATTCTGCATATCATTGTTTTAGCGACTCGTGGATCTTTCTGGATTCTATATGATTATTACGAACATCTTTCGGATAAGAATGTTTTTCATCAAACTCAATTTCTAATCAATTACCATATGTCACTAGATAAAATATCTATAGGATTACGTTTTCCCAGATACTCTAATCTTAAATTTCAAATGCTAATATGTGTTGTAAAGAGAAAAAAAACAAGACTATATATGTGAAAGTACACGTTTGGCATTAATTTCTTTCACATAATGCATGAATAAAGACGAAATTTATCGTATATTTTTTTAAACATAATCATGCTTAAATTAGTGTTTGCTTTGGAAATTTATCTTTATTATATTAATCTTTAATATTTCCCGAGATTAGCATGTATACTATTGTCATATCTTAATTGATTCAAGCTAATGCTGTCTCTGCCTCGACTATTTTACGTATGTGAATATATACATAACAATTTTCTATTTATTTCAAAGTACTGAAACAAAAACAAAACCGTTTATTCGCTAATTATTTGTCGAAACAATAATCTCCATTCGTACTTTAATTCCATAATACAGAAAAGTTTTGTCACATTCAGGGTATACTTATAGATCACTAAGTACAATCTCATTTACTCTGTTCTATACATATATATTATGTTGTTTTTTGTTCTATTCCTTCGATTGTTATATATCGTGCTAAATATAGTATAACTATGATTAGTTTGTGAATATATGAGAAATAAGCGAAATGTCGCATGAATATTTGCAGTCCATATGAGAATGATTTGTTGCTTTGTAGCTAACTATTTGAATTTCAGTTTGAAGTGACTGTAAAAAAAACAGGATTTTAAGAAAAATATTGTTTTTTTATTTGAAGTAATACAAGGAATTTTCAAGCTTTTCAGTCTTGAAAAAAATACATAACGCTCATGATCAGCTTCTTTTCCATGTTGTTATAATTAATCACTCATCTAACATTAGATATCAAGTCTTGGAAATCAAAACAATACATTAACACAATCATAAGCATAAATAATAACCAAAAAAAAGTATAATTTTTTTTTTAAATAGACAACATAAACTAAAACAGCATAAACCTATTGATCATATAACTCTAACTGTATCATTCTAATCATATAATCACAAAATCATTTAATTAGGATGTAGGTGTTAATTTGGCTTTAGTGTATATTTTGAATTTTTCATTTAGGTATTATTATCAGATTAGTTTCATTATAAAAAAAATCTATCAGTATTTTAGATTGAGACGAAAGGTATTAAAACAACTGCTTTTGAATACATGATACAGTGAGGGCTCAAAAAAGCATGTACATTTTGTTTTTACGCATAAACGAATAATAAGGATACTCTGAAAATTTTCTTTCATATCGCACTTTGTAGAGCTTTTTCACTGATCATTTTGGTAAAAAAATTTTTTGATTTTCATTGAGTAATGACGATGTTATAGTCAAAATACTAAACACTGTAATATAAAGTAGGGAAAAAAGTTTAGCACACTTTTAGTATTTGGCTAATTTTTATGTTATTTCACAACATCTGAAAGATGTTACATATACCATTGGGCGCAAAATTTAATGGGCTACATTTTGGTAACAAGCACTTATACTTATATTGCAGTTAATTAATTAATTAATAATTAATAATCATTAGCAATTAATTAATAAAATTTTGGTTTTTTTAAAATTCCAACTCTTTCATATGAAAGAGCATAAAAAACTGAACAAAACTCTATAATTACTATTTGGAAAGCAACGAATTTAGTATGCGTAAAAAGAAAAATGTACGTGCTTTTTTGAGCCCTCACTGTAATAATTTAAAGATTATATGATTTAAAATTATATAATTATAATTACTTGGTTATTCACGTCGAATATAATGGTCTGTAAACAACATGAAGACAGTGAAAACTGACTAAGATTACGATAAACGATGATCTTGTACAGTAGTTATTTATGTACCATAGGCAACGGTGACTGTTACGACTATCGTTTTGCATCGTTGTTGAACTTTTTTTCCGTCTGTCAATAAATATATTCCTTAATTAAGCGTCATCAAATAGATCAAAACGCATATATTATTACTTCTTTCTGAATTTCAGTACTAAGGAAATTCATTTATTGATCAAAATTACAGTAATTCCTGTTTAAATGTATATGTTTTCGCGAGACTTTGTCCTATCATAATAGGAGTATTTGAACTACTTGGCATTGCTCAGATTTCATAAGGTTTCTTGTTTTTTATAAGATAAATACTGTTATCATATTGAACTATAGTGTAGTCTATCTTGATTTCATCGGCTGTTCCCAAATTAAAACCATTGCCTGTTTCGTTACACAGGATACAACTTGAGTTTCATCTTAATTTTTCACCTTATTTCAAATCATTTATCCAGAGTGAATAAGCAGATTGTAAGAGAAATATACAACTACTTTCAATAAACGATTTAAAATCAAATCAATATATGTCTTATTTATATATCTATTTTAGATTATTGTGATAAGTAATTCAATAAATGTAAATCTTTTTTATTTTAGACTATATTGCTGGCTACTTCTATGTAAGTAAGGCTTTTACTTTCAATCGACGTTTATCTTTTTTTCTTAGATCATTTTATTGATCTAATTCAATGGAGTATCTTTTTATTCATTTTTCTTTCGATTCATGTTTTCTCTTCGTTTTTGTAATTTTTGCATATTAAATAATTGTTTGAGATCGAATAAACCTTAACATCAGGATGACATTAAAAATTCGTAGTGTATTAGTTATGTAAAATACAGATGGACCAAAGCAGTTGAATGTAGTTGTAAGTGTCAGATAATGGCGTATTTCAGACACGAAACGAAAGCGTTTTGGGTGCAGCAAAGCACGTCTCCGCAATCGAATATGACAAATTACGATCTTAAAACTGGTAAAAAACACTCAAAAGTGTGCTTTGTTTTCTACTGTTTATGGCAGACCACTTTATAGCCGTTTCAGGTTATATAATACGCCATTGTCAAAAGTTAATATGATAAACTTGGGTAGCGCTATATAATCAAGATGGTTCTGTTGTCTATTGAGTATGTTTATAGCTATGTTTATGTATTTGTTTTCATTTTCAAGATTTGATATTAGGTGTTAGGTCGGTGATTGATTATAACAACATGAACAACAAGCAAACGACAATCCTTATGCATTTTTTACACACCGGAAAAAGTCAAAAGTTCGTTTTATTACTTAAAATACAAAAATATTTTTCTTGCATACATTTTCTTCAAATATGTGTACTATTGAATAAAATTTCAAGCTAATTTTTTCATAAAAAGTATTCCTATGGATACTTTTTAATGATACATGACAGACTGATTGAAAATTGACTTGACTCTAATGAAAAGGATTCTTGCCAATAGAGAGTTCGCAACAATGACATAAAGTTAGAAAGACCAAAGGATCTCCAGAAATGGTAATACTCAGAATCAACACCATGAACTACATAATCTCACATATGTTTCTACGAAGAAAAGCGATTTCTTATTCAGAAAAGTTTCCTCATAAAAAACTGGCATAAAAATAAAGTCTAATGTTCGAAGAAATCAAGGAATTGATAAATGATATTTTCCTATCAATAATCTCTATTAGCATAATAAATGATGTGAAACATATAAACATTTTCGATCAAGGATTCTTATCCCTCAATTTAGAAACTTTGAAACCATATATTATTGATAAGAAAAAAAATCACGATATTATTGTTTGGAATACATAATATCTTTTTATTGCAGCCTGTTAATGTGCCTAGAAATTTGATAAATATTTGCTGGAAAATTTTAGGGCACTGAATAGCCACACAATTAAAGTATTTCTTTACCTTAACATAAGAAATATTTTCATTAAAAAATTTTATTATAACGAGACCATGCACATTAAAATACATTATACCATTACAGATTCACAGATTTAATCGATTGAGATGTTTAATTTTCGAATTTTGTGAATGATATTAAATAAATATAAGACAAAGCTTTTCCTTGTAAAACAATGCACAATAGCTCTGCACTTTTTATCGATCATTAAGAGTCTCAAGACTAACGAAAAGAAAGCTACTGTTCTCATGACTTTTTTCTCAAAATCTTAAGTAGACTAGGAAATGTTTATTCAGTTTTATATACTGATCTTTCATATAGAGAGTTAAGAATATAGGTTTTAGTACGGAATTAACACTTTAGCCAGTTTTTCTTATAACAATTTCTTTTCTGATGTAACGCCCATTAACGTATCTTATTTTCTATGCTATTTCCACAATGATTGACAATGAAAAATATTTTTTTTTAAATACACACACTAATATTTGTTTTCAATAAATCTACACATATTACAAGAAAAAAAAAAGGATTGTCTACCGTCTAATAAAACAGACAACCACATTCGTTTTGTCGTGTTTCTGTATATGAGATTATTTTTTTTTTTGTTGTCAAGTGATAATGTTTTTTTAAATGAATACTTGTTCTTCATCAGCTGTTTCCATTGGTATTGTGTCTACAACAGTTGTTGTTGTCTGTTGAGTACTACTCTTGTTACGTCGACATAAGTACCACCAAATAGCATATAACGGTATAGGTAATGTTGATATTGTACTCATTGTCCACCCAGCAATACTTACTCTTATTGCTGTTTTTTTATCACCAACTGAAGAAAATTCCCGACTATCAAACTGAATAAATGAACATACATAGAGAATAAAAAGAATTAATGGTGCAACATAACGGCAGGTAATACGCCAATAAATACTTGGTTTATGTCCAGTCATCATTTCAACATTATTACTAAATTGATCAAATCCATATAACCATACTGTCGCTATAAGTTCACATAGAACAACAAACATAATTGATGGTGATGTACCAAAAAAATCCATAAAATTAACAATATGTTTTCCGCCATGTGTTAATGTTGGTATTGATGCTAAAAATGGAATTAATATAACCAATGCACGTGATAAACGAGGACAACGAGCAAATATTGGAAATTCATCAGATATTGCTGTATATACACTTTCGGCACCGGCAAATACACTATCAAGTCCTAATGTAAAAACCATAACAAAGAAAAGAACGGAAAAAATTGGTGCACCACGTATTGATGCTAAAATTTCTGGATAAACAACAAAGACAAGACCTGTATTACTTTGAGTCAATTGTTGTACATCAGTACGTAAACGATGTGATAGATATCCAAGACCAGCAAAAACAACTGTGCCATATAAAAGACTAGTAGCACAATTAACTAAACTAGCAATTAATGCTGTACTAGAAACATTATCATGTGTATCACTAAAACTTGCATAACTAAGTAAAACACCAAAACCAGGTCCTAAACTAAAAAATATTTGTACAGCTGCTGCTTGCCATACAGAATATTCACGTAAACGTTTAAATGATGGTGCAATATAATATTTTAATCCTTCAAATATTCCATCAAGTGTTAATGAACGTAATAATAATATAGCAAGTATAAAATAAGGTGCTAATGCTGTAAACCATATTGCTTTACCAGCTGTTTTAACACCTTTAAATATTGATAAATAAATAAGAAGAAAAACAATCATTGAACATCCAACTAATTCCCATTGTAATGAACCTATATGATTAATATTTGGTGCTAGATAAGATTTAAGTAAACGTCGTTCAAAATATTCATCAGCTGCTGAACATGTTCCATTATGTGATACATTAAGAGTTTGTTTATCATGTAATGAATAACAATGTTCTGTATTCCAACTATTTTTACAATATGCCCATGGTACAATAGTACGAAATGATGCTAAACAATAATGGACGGACCATGCAATTATTGTATTATAATATGATAAAACATAGAAATTAATAATTAACATTGCATAGCCAATACCTTTTAATGGTGGACAAACTTTTTCCCATATTGTTATATAACCGAGACGATGATATTGTCCAATAGCCAATTCCATATACATACCTTTTATTTTTAGAAATTAGAAATTTCCAAAATCTATTAAAAAAATAAACTTACAAGGAAGACCGACAAGAAATAAAAAACTAAAATAAGGAATGAGAAAGGCACCACCTCCATTTCGATAACAAGTTGTTGGAAAACGCCAAACATTGCCTATGAACAAGTAAAAAAATATTAAATTCAAATAATTCATTATAGAAAACCTACCGAGATCAACAACAAAACCAATAATTGATAGTAGATAAACAATACGATTACTCCAATTATCACGATTATCGTTTAAAATTACTTGATTATATTTAGTTTCTGTTGCAACTATTGATGTTGTTGGCGTTGTAACCAGTAAATTTCCTCTTTCAACTTCATCGTGATTGTTAGCGACGACCATTGGTAGATTGATCTGTTCAGTGTCTTTGCTAGACATATATCTATTTATAGAGAATTAAAAAGATTTATGGTTGATTTATCTCGTGATTAAGCTATGAACAGGTACCGGTAGACTTGTCAGTCATCACCAATCTGTCTTCTTTGCTTTCCTATTTCTATTATCTTGACTTATTCGAAACTTCTATTAGACTCAATAGCAGCTCATAAAGAATGTGCAACGAAAAACATTATTAAACGTTAACTATGTCAAATAATGCTATCATCAATGATAGAACCGGTATCGGTCGTCAAACAGTCAGACCGGTTTCATCTCTACTATGATCGATAATGTTTCTATGATAGACGCATATATACATATTTCTCGCTCTTTTCTTTTTTTTTCCATTAAAATGACAAATCTGTCATTTAGGTACGATCTTATCTATAATTTACTTTCATAGAGAAGGATGAAAATGAGACATGTGTTACATTTTAATAAACAGAAAGGCATGCATATCTTTATTTTATCGAAATGTAAATACTGACTCAAACATACGTTATGAGTTCTGTCTAACAAGTTTAAGAAAGAGAATTCGCTAGAAGATCGACGACAATCAACGGAAGTCAGTAGTAGAATAATTTCAAAGCCCATAAAACATTTATTATGAATACCTAAATATTAATCCATTCTGGCTTTTCTATGAAAATGTGTGATGGTCACCACTTTTCAAATTTTTAAACCATAGTCAAAAGCAAATTACTTCTTTCTCGATGCTCATTGTTTTGTAGTTGTCTTTGCGATCATTCGATCGTTCAAGTACAGAACATATTAAACAATAGAGAATGGTTTTCTTTTGTCTTTATAAAACAAGTTTATTCTTTTATGTTTTATATAAGAAAATAATGACAATCGAGAAAAAAACAAATACAATTTCAGACACCAATTTTTTTGTATCATAGACGAAACTCTAGTCAAAGTAAGAGCTTGCAATCTAGATTTGTATATATTGTAGCTCTAATCATGGCATATGTCGTGATATATTTACCCTTGAAACTTTGTACCAAGATTGTATAAAAGTTTTCTGCGCAAAAGATCGAATATGGTATGATTTCGTATCTTATATGTCATCTTTACTGACACGTACGTAGAAGACTTTCGTTAGAAGAATTAACATTTTAGTCAAAACTAACCACTTTTTCAGAACCAGTGCTGAAAAACTCGATCCAATTATATTTGTTTCTAAAACTCGTAAATATTTTTTATGAAAAAATCCACCTGGAATCCTTCTCAGAATTCAGTTGAAAAATGAATTTCATAAAAACTCTGTTTTTACCATTTAATTCTGTGTCATTTTCTCTTCTAATAGCATTTTACAAATTCGAAATCTACTTTCTATTGCTTAAATGACTTTTTGATGAAATTCACTTTACGACTGAACCCTGAGAAGGATCCAGGAGGGTTTTTTCATAATTAAAGCTTACGGAAATCCTTGAAACATACATAAGTCGATCGAATTTTCAACATTAATTTTGAATATATTGTCAGTTTTGATTCAAAAAATAATTCTTCTAACCAAAATATATTAAGTTTTATAAATTTTTCATGGATGAGAATATATCAAAGCATATGTCATAATTAAAGCTACAAAATATAAAAATTTAGATTGCAAATTCTTACTTTGATTAAAGTTTCGTTAATGATAGGAAAAAATAGATGAATAAAATTGTATTCTTTTTTTTCTAGATTGTCATTATCTTCTTCGACAAAAGTATTAGAATAGACTTGTTTTGTAAAGAAAAAAAATTCTCTATTATCTGATATGTTCTGTATTTGAACAGTTAAACGATCAAAGAGACAAGTACAAGACGATGAGAATCGAAAAAAAACCAACTTGTTTTTGACCTTAGTCTGGAAATGTGAAGAATTGTAACCGTTACAAATTTTGATAAAGAAGTTAGAATGGGTTAATACTTGGATTTTCATAATAACTGTTTTTATAGGCGTTCGAATACGATGTTCAAATAATCTGAAAATTATTTCGCTACTGTCATTAGTCAGAGTTCTGGCGGACTCTCTTAACTTTCGAAATAAGAATAAAAAGAAAAACAAAGACGAAGAGCAAAAACGAAAATACAACGAATTGGAAAGATTGACAAAAATGAATTCTTCATTACATTACTATGTTCAATGTATAGACACAAAGATACAGACAAATATGATTTATGATAAATACATGGAAAAATGTTGCTAAACATCTATCAAATCTTTTAGCCATTATGTACTTATAAGAGAAAGAAAATCGTTGAGAAGTATATGTTACTTTGTTGGATTTATATCTTTTTATCAGGGGGATAAGAAGAGAACATATTTATTGTTATGATTATTATCATGTCAGTCAATATTTCAATATTGAATTGTTACTACTATCATCTATTTGAGTACCTCGTTTTCTTTTTAATAATTTGTATAGATATAGGTACAAAATAAATTTTTTCGATTGTATATATAACTACCTGTATATATTTATAATAATTTTCGTTTAGTATAATGAGCGTTAACTATCCTATCATCAAAACGCCAAAGATGAGTGTCATCAAGTTTTTCTTTTTCTCTAAATTGACATGCAAGTATGTGTGTATATCTCAAGTCAAGACGCTCTGTTGTTGATGCTCTTCACTGATCGATCAATTAATTGAATACACACTATCTATACTACTGTCATCACTACAACAGACATATCGCCTACATCTTTTTTTTATTTCAAGCGTGCATAGATGTTCTCAACTCTGATAACTGACAAAAGACAGAAGAAAGAATTATTTGCCTATGACGAGTTGAATAAACAAGACCATCTGCTATCTCTTGAAAACTAGTATATCGACTCAACTGATAAGCCCTATCGAATGCGTATGTCATTCGAATATAGAATATAAAACTTATCCTCTAGTAAAAAAACAAGAGTAACAAAGGAACGTCATCTTTTACTTACATTCATTTTTATTAAATGATCTAAACTTATTTCTTATTGATAATGAATAAATAGCTTAACTTCAGGAATTTCTCTCTTTTCATTGAACAGTAGGATCTTTTTTCTCTGCTTTCTTTTCTCTCTCATTTAACGGAAATGCTTACACATTTATATATATATATATGCCTGCTTAGTATTTATGTATCAAGGTTTGTTTCCGATCTTGAAAAAAAAAGAGAAAAGGTAAGCACAGGATATGAGAGAGTTATTCTTTTTTTTATTTACTTTTTTGTTTTAATGTTATCAAAGGTATGATCGGAAATGGTTAGAATTAACTGATCCATAGACATTCATTTTATATTGAGATCCTATTTAATGCAAGAGACACACACACACCAACACATAGTATATCTTGAAAGTTATTTGATTAACTGCTTGTATCTAATCGAATGAGGCGAAGTTTATTTGAATCACATAAAACTGTTGCAGCCTCATTTTCACCACCACAATAATGACTAGATGAAAAGACTGTTAATAATCGACCATTAAGTTGAACCTTTTTTAAAAATGAATACGATGAATAAAAATAAAAATTTATTTGGAAAACAAAATTTACTTTAAAACCTTGCTGTTGAACTTCATGTGCACGTACAACATAAGATAATGAATTTTGATAAAGAAAATCATTTAAAGCTTTTGATGAAAAGAAAAATCCTGTTCCTCGGCGAACATTTAAAGTAAAGTCATTATTTGTATTATCTAAATCACGCATTTCATTTGATAATGGATCATTCCATAAAAGTTCCCAAGCAAGTGGTGATTCATTTTCTGGATCACGTAATGGACATGGAATTTGTGAAACTAATTTTAAAAAATCACTTTTTATATCTAATGATGGTATACCACCATGAACACATAAAATACGATTATCAACAAGAGCACCTGAGACAAAAAAAAACACTATTAAATTATAGATTAAATGGCTCGTCATCATTTTTCTACCAAGTTTATATTCAATCTTTTTCCCTTGTCGTAAACGCTAATAAGAATTCAAATAGTGGTTTATGTACAGGAATTTTGTTTCCAAGAAGAATTTTTGAAGATGAAAACGATTGATAGGTTTCTGATGATAGGATCACTGAGAAACTGAACCTCAAGTTTTTCATCACATGAACTTCTGTTTGAACTATCCAGACTGATATAGCAAATGATTCTCTTTAAAATGTAACGTCTTCCAACTCTCTACAATGTTTTTTGACTGATACGCTTCAATCTTACGGATAATGCAGCAGTTGTTTTTTTCTACTGACGGATGGTGCGTAAAGATTGAACTTCGAAATGTACTGAGAGAAATATTTACAAAATACTGTGAGGATCATTCTTTAAGCACCAGACATAAAAATCGAACTACTTTTTTGACTACCCGGCCTAACTTAGAATGGCACTATTAAAAATATATTCCTTTTACAAAAAAGATTTCTAAACGATGGAATTCTACCATGACTGCATTCATTTATTAGAATATTGTAAAAAGTTTAATATCATAGTGATCACAAGTTGAATAAGATCAAACCATATTAATACTTAAAAAAAAACAGCACGCGATATGACATGAATCGAATAACTTATTAAACCGAAAAACCAAGATACGTTCGTGGACATTCCAACTTCTTGAAGCCTATCATTTACTAATATAAACTTTCATGAGTAAAGTACTTGCTGATCAATTTTAAAGTGTCAGATCAGTTTCTACTTCATTTACGCTATTAATTTTAGTACATAGTTAACACTGTTCTATCTCAATACAACTCACGTCACTTAATGCAGTTGACAGTGTACTGGGTGTTGTATATCAATAAAATATGTCATTGAACCAAATAAATGCATTGTTTTTATTTATTGGCTACATCAAATTGTCGAAACGTTTGCATAATGAAGATTTCTGATTGATATCAGTTGCGAGATACGAGAAGCTACCGGAACTTATTTTTTCGGGACTTATTGGGATTTTTTATAAATCCGAGATATTTCTTTCCTGTATCTTCTATTGTGTTACAATGATGTTTTTATATAGGATATATTCCGATGAATTCCAATATAAATAAATTTTTGGTGGGATTACTTTTTTTCTGGCGGATTTATTCCAAAAGCATTATTTTATTGTAAAGTTCGTGATAAAAACTTCATTAAATTAAATAATTTCTCGCCGGATGATTTTTGTACTACTGGATCTATTGAAGATATATACATGTCTACAGCAGCGTTCTATGGTATTTAACTCCAAATATGAATTGATCCCCTAACAGATCGATTCTTTCTCCAGCGGATATCTTCTTTATACAGTTGGATTGATTGATCACGCTAATCATCGTTCTAAAACTTTCACTATTAGCTAACGACAGCGAATGACCAATGCTTAGAGCGATGGCTTCCACATTTATACATCTAAAGTTCGAATCCTTGTTCAGTCACTCTTTTTTTTGTTGCTTAGCACTTATGATTAATATGTCATAAAATGACCCATACTACAGTACCAATNCTTCATGTGCATGTTATCCATCTTCAAAGAATCACAGTGAGTGATTTTGTTATTGCCCGTCATATTTGCAGTTTGTGGCGGTCAATCAATACTAATTTGATAGCCTGTGTTGAGTACGGTTGATGCTAAAAAATTCATGTTGATTTTGCATATAACAATGAAGATCAATCTGCTGCACCACCTTGTTATTACGTATATGGGATTTGTGATAGAACAACATATCATTACCTTTGTATTCAAGTTAACATTTTAACTTCAACTCTTATATATAGTTATGTTCAGAATTTAATTCTCTATCGAATGCTATATAACTTGACTTTCAAATAGCGAATAGACTATCACTTTTAATCTACCACTCACCAACCACACAAATCATATATGGACCATAACTAATTGAATATTGAAGTATAAGAAAATTTTGACACAGAAAGCTGAAATTTGCAGAAACCACTCATAATTACAGGCTCTACAAATGCTGAAAATTTCATGTCAAACGATCATTTTTTTCCTTGTTAAATAAGACTAATCTGATAATAGTCCACGGCTAATTGATTTAAAAAAAAGTTGATGTCTGTATATCGGCCGTTTCGAGTTGGAATAAAATTCCAAATATAGGGTTTGATAGAGCAGAGTCTGCTCTACAGAACTTACTAAGTCATCAAACCATGGAATCCGTCTTAAGAAACTTCCAAGGGACTAAGTTTGTAGTGCTGCTGTTGCTAGTATGGCCCAGAAAACTTTTTACTAGGTCAATGAAAATTAAAAGGCGATATATGCGCGGATGCGCCGGGTCATGGGGAACAATAATATATAATTGGAATCAATTTTGGTCCATACAATAGTAAAAAAGTGAAGACCACGAAGTTTAGTAAATTTTCATTTTTCATCAATTATGTCAATTTCCAGCTAAACTTGTATACCTTATATCTCCCTACAGGAACGGTTTTGTAAGCTGGAATTTTTACCAGAGATACAACTCATCGAACTCTACAAGATAGAATATGTTTCGGTCGATTTAAAGAACTCATGTGTTTTCGTGGTAGAAACTCCATGGAATAGGCCAACAAATAAAACTAACTGTTATTTATACTGTCAATACAGAAAAATAAAAAATTGAAATTAGTATTTCTTTATTATCATTTTAGAGAAACAAGACAGAAAACTAATTGTTTCTATATCATCAATATAGAAAAAATCTATAAAAGTCTGATTTTCTGTATTATGAATATAGAAAATAAAAATCATAAACCAAACTATTATCTACCTTACCAATATAGAAAAATAAGAATTAAAACTAACTGTTATTTGTATTATAAATATAGAAAAGAAGAATTAAAAAATAAGATTCTCTATATTATTAATATAGAAAAATGAGAAGTAGAAATAGGATTCTTTATACTACCAAAATAGAAAAGTAAAAAATAAGAATTTGAATTTCTATACTACCAGCATAGAAAAAGGAAAAATAATGAGTAGGATTTTATATAATATCAAATATAGAAAAATAAAGTAAAAAGTAAGATTTATTATATTATCACTATCGAAAAATAAAAAACGAAAATTAGGATTCTCTATATCATCAAATATAGAACGATTAAAACTAAATTACCCTTTTTCTTTGGTGTCAATTTAGAAAAATCAGAAATGAAAATACGTTTTCTATATTATTAATACAGGAAAATAAGAAATGAAAGTTACGATTTTCAGTATAATCACTAGAGAAAAATACGAAAACAAATTAAGCACATAGATTAATGCTGTTTTTAACTACTATTCTTCATAGTAAAACTAATTGAATCAACAATTCTCGAATAAGTTAAAGAACAGGAGAGACCATACACCATCAGATAAGAACAGACAGAATCTGCATTATGTGCTGTTATGTTTCTTTTCACATGAATTTTAAATCATCTGAGAAGATCTCACAAGAAACATTCAGCGTGTACTTCTACATTTCTTAATCTTTAAATCTTGTAAGATTGTTGCTCACATCTTATGATAAGAATTTGAGAAAATCTTCAAAAAAGAAGAACACATGAAATTATATGATCTTCTGACAAGATCATAGAAAAAATCTTATAAGGGTAAGATATTATCAGATCTTGCATGATCTGATGTCAGGTTTTTCGACCTGGGTGCGGTTGCGTCTAAACAAAGATTGAGTAGTACATCGTACATTTTTTAGAAACTATTAACATATTTAAATTAGTTGAAAATATTCCACTTGACTGAGAAGTTTTAATAGAGAAATAGAGTCCGAAATCTGTCCTAGTGATCTAAATAATACTCAAAGCGAAATAAATCCCAGGATTTATTTAAAAACACCAATGCATTCCATCACTGAAATAAATATCTGGGTTCATTTCACAACTACAAGAAATCTCAATAGAGAAATAAATCCCAAGTTTTTTTTCAATGATCCGAATAAGTCCCGAGAATGAAATAAATCTCGGAATTTATTAAAAAGTTCCAATAAATCCCAAAAAAAATAAGTCCTGGTAGCTGCTGCGAGATACAAAACTCTCGTAAGAAATTTTGACAAACACGCAGAGTAAAATCTATTACTTTTTGAGTTTGATTTTGATTGAAATCGAACTTTTCTGCGTTAAAGACAGGTTTCAATTGATTTCTTTGTAAATCGATTAAGATAGAGTAAAATCAAATAAAATCTAACTTCTAATTTGAAAAATCAGACTTTTATCGTATTGAACTAGTATCGTTTTTATCATTTTTGTGCTTTTCATAAGATCGATGTATCTCGGCTGGAAAAAGCCTCATAGTTGAAAGACATGATATTTTGTAGAGAATTGTTTGATTTATCAGTCTGAATGATCCGGACAGAATTCTGTGAGATGAAAAACGTCGATTTCGATTTCTCCGAGACACTCTTCTTGGAAAAAGATTCATCATTTTCATCGTCGAAAATGCTTGTTGGAAACAAATTTATCTAGACAATTCATTATTTAGATTCATATTACCACTGTATATATAAAACAAAAAAAGCGATTCATTTACATATAGGCATGGCATCAAAGCATCGATTAATTTCTTCCCAAACTTGTTCACCAAGATCTATACCAAATTTTCGACGACATTCACCATGGAATTGAAACATATCTTGAACATTACGTAATTCATGATTACCACGTAAAAGATAAACCTAAAACAAAAGTTTCGTTGTATATATATTCAATAATAAAATATTATTACTAACTTTATGTGGACATAGAACTTTCTGAGCAAAAAGATAAGCAACAACTTCAATACCTTCTTGTCCTCGATCAACATAATCACCTAAGATATTAAAAATAATAGATATCTCTATTAAAAAAAGTCAATTATGGAATTCACCTAAGAAAAGTAGAGATGCTGGTGTGAGCACTGGTCCAAGTCGCCAAAATGTTTTTTCAAAACAAAGTAAATCACGAAAATTTCCATGTAAATCACCCACTACAAAAAAAAGGAAGAAATCATATTAATTTTTTTATGTCAATTGAAAATTTTAATTTTTTGTTCTTCTTTTCTTTACGAATATAACAAGCCGATGAAAGACGTAATAATCGATCTTCTTTTATAAAAATTGAGTAAACCTGTTTGCATAAAACTAATAAACAACGAGCCATTCCTGCCATATCAACTTTTCCCCATGAAAAAGGATCTTTCAATGCAGGTCCACCTAGAAACAAAAAACCCTATTGTATTAAATACATCATGTTCAAAAAGTTCGAACGAAAAGAAAATGTAAATAGCACTTCAGCAATTCTCAAGAAATTTAAACATTCTTTTGACCATTTGATCACACATTCATTTAAGTTTTATTCAATATATTTCAGATAAAATGTCTGCATCTAAAGAGTCCGAGTTAAAATAGTTTTATTGATGGTCAAATTTGAAAAATCCAGCATCGTAAAATGGTAACTACAAATTGAATTTGAAAAAAGCACGCTAACTCAACATTGCATTAGAAAAAAGTTCCAGGCAAGGTTATGAAATTATTATATAAGCGGCGGATCTACTAGACTTCGGTAGGCTCAAGTCTACCCTAGTTTGAGTAGATAAGAGCTTAAATAGACTCTATTTAATATAACAATTTTTTATTATTGTTCAATTTTCATTTTTTTCTGAGAAATGATGCGTTTTTACAAGGTCAGTGCACATATTATCTACTGCCAACTCATGTCCAATAAGCATAGACGATGGAACCACAATATTTGAGTAGTCTAAAGCCTACCCTAGATTTACACTTCGTAGGCTAGGATAGATCCAAACACTTTCTCCTCCCATTAGATTAATCGATTTGAGCAACACATCACATTTTTTTGTATAAACGTCGATATTGTTCGCTGGCTACCTCCAGTGGCTAATAATAACATCTTCTTAATCAAACAGACTTAGAAGACGTTTTTGAGGAAACATTGGACAATACATTGACAATAACTTGAAGTGGAGATCCTTCATTACAAGTTAACACGAACTTTACGAAAAATCGAAGTTATATTAACTAAAATTTGCCAATATTTTTCTCGGCTACGGCTGCTAAGATTGCATACCAATTAAACATTTTGAAGAGTGAAGAATTTTACAATGCAACACCTGTTTTCTATGAAACATTCCACTTTGCGATTAAACATTTTGCAGCAAAGTAGATCAGACTATCTTCTTTCAAAGGTCGCATTTCGATGAATACAACCATTCTCACGGTTCTTCAAACGCTCGTTTTTTAGGCAAATTGCGTTAAAACACTTCAAGATTAAAAAAATACTTTCTGCCTAGTTTTCATCCCTCTCGTCCTGTTCTAAACTCTTTGCACCGTCTCTGAACACAGATATTCTATCTGAAAACCAATGAATATGTGGTCAATTTGTAAAAAGAATATTTTAATTTCTTTCGAATTGTAGAGAAGATATTCACGTTTTTTCTTTTGTTCAGGCTGTTGGAACATTCTGTAGAATAACCTTCTTTAGCTCCACGTTCAAAATAACGTAATCCATGAAGCATTTCATTTGCATGAGTACGTTGATTAAAACAATTTTGACTATTTATCCGATCAAATTTTCCATTATCATCATCAAAAAACAAAGCTGTACTACCACTAATAGCTCCTGCTACGTCCAAATCATATAATGATGTTATATTAACAACAACACCAGTCTTTTTTACCTAACATTTTTTATTAATGAAAAATAGACATTTGTTGTGTTTTTTTTTTGTTTAATAATGAACAAACTTTAATAATATGCGTGGCAATTTCATATGGATGAGATTCATCAATGGACATATTTGATATTTGTTGTTGTGTACTTGATCGTCGTGTCATTGTTTTTGTACTTAACGTTCGATATGACGTTATTATATTTGAAGTTGAAGGTGGTATTATTAATGTACTAGGTGTTAATGATGATGATGACCGTTGAAAAAACTCATTTATAGGCATATTTAATCGAAATAAAACCGATGTACCACGAAATCGAAGTTGACCAACACCTGATAAAAAATCCATTAAACTTAATGTTTGATCCGATGATCGTAATCCAAATGAACGAAACATTTGTAAAGCTTCATCATTTAATGCATCACTGGATAAATTTTCACCTTTATTTTTATGGATATCTTTAATCATTAATTTAAACTCTTCAAATGTCATACGTTGATTATTATTTATATTATAATAGCGAAATATATAACGACAGCGTTGTTCAGCTGGTACACCACCATGTTGTGTATTTGGATCAAGTGCAGCTAATCCAAGTAAATAATCAAGATATGTCAAATAATTTCGTTGTGTTGAATCAAATGCACGAAAATAATCGGTAATATGTTGAGAATCCAAACCTTTACATAAAATTAATTGTTTGAATGTTTCTATGTTAAGATAATCAGATGGTAATACAGCATTATGATATTCTTCATAAAGTTTTTCTTGAATAGTTGATGTAAATTTAGCTGATATAAGTAATGTTTCAGCAGCATTATTATGTGAAATTTTTGATATTGTTTCAATTTGTGGAATTTTAACTTCTTCAAATATAACAGTATTATTTATATTGTTTGATTTTATTGTTGAATGAAATATATCTTTAAATTGTTTATTTAATGATAATGGTTCTATGCCTAATAATCGTGATAATTTACTTATATGTTTTAATTGAATTGTTGTTAACCAAACAATAACATTAGCTTGTAAAGTGTTTATTTGTCGTTCAAAATCAATTCCATCAATTTTTCCATTTAACCATATATTAATTACAGTAGTTGATTTAGGTACAATAGCATAAAAAAGAACATCATGACCTTTGAACGGAAGTGTTTTGGTTGAACAAACTTTAACAAGTTGTATTTGTTCAGAATCATGAATAATAATTGGATCAATTAGACGCTTAATTGTTTGAAATGATGTTTCATTATTACGACGTTCACTAAATGGAAACCATAGACCACCGCGTTGTCGATAATTGATCATTAAATATACATCTTTTACTTTATCATAAATTACACCAACAATATAATCCTGTGTTAAAAGTCCATCAATAGTATTACTATTTGATGACAATAAAGTTGTTTGCTCCATAAAAAAGATAAAATAAAGAAACAACAAAAACAACAACAAAAAACACAAAATCTAGGTGATAGAAAGCGCTTGTTTTATTTCTTTCAATAGATGCAAAATAATATTTATAATATAAAAAATTTATAATTTGATATAATTATTTTCAATAGATAATCTTCGATTAATGAAATATCCCATGTCACACGATTATTTTCATTACCGCCCATATTCCGCAGTACTCATAAGAACAGATGGTAGTACTTACAACTTTCAGTTTCAGCTATAAACAATTGAAGAGTGTGTTTTCTATCTAAATTCGAATTATTTAGTTGAAAGAATTCAAATCAACCGAGAAGAAAACAGTTTAAGAATGTATTTTGCTAGTAAAAAATTTTTTAGTGCTATCTATACTAAAAATTTATCTCATAATTGGAGCCGATTTGGGCTCTATGGATAATACAGGTGGCTCATATGTATCAACTTGATCGAAATCGACTCAATTCGGTCAGCTTTAACATACTTCAAAAATGTTCCCCCGTTTTGATACAACACGTTTAAAAAAAACAACGGTATAGCGCACATTATTCCGATGCTGAACTAGATTGACATTTACTCAAGGAGAAACAAACTGATTTCTATGCGAGATATCATTAGAAATCAATGAAAAATCACTCTAAATTATAGAAAATTCTCCTGTAATAAGATTAAAAGTAAAGGTTTGATTTCTAGTGATTTTTATTGATTTTCTAGTTTGCCAATAGTTGCCAGTTTCCTAGTAGTTGCTCTTGATTTCTAATAATCTCTCGTAATTTTCATTAATTTCTAAGCATTCCTAATGATTTCTATTGATTCACAGCGAACAGATAAAAACCGATTTTCAGTGATAGAAATTACCAGAAATCAAAGAAATCAGTTTGTTCCTCCCTTGTATTTACTTAGATACGAACATATTTAGCATCAAGTCAAATTGACAACATTATTAATTCGTTCTTATGAGCAATTCAAGACAAAATAATAAACAGAAAACCTCTCCTTGATCGTGGTCCTTCTGTTTATGTTAGTTACATTTTGCATCCTATATCTTTATGTTTATTTAATTATTCTTTTGCTCACTTTGTGTACGTCAAGTATCTTTTTTATTTTTCATTTCCCTTGAAAAACATATACTAAGATTTGTTGAAATGATGATTGTAAATGATTTTTGTATCAATAGAGCATCTATGATAGTTGACATCGTACTTCATATACAGATGAATATAATATTATTGTCAAAAAAAGCAATGAAAAGATCATCCTGCAGGCTGGATACAAAAAAATCCTTTGCTCTACAATATGTGTCCTGCAAAACACGATGACTGAGTGAAAATATCTCGTAGAATATAGGGCAGGACAAAGAAAACCGTCCTATAGTGTTCTTTTATATCAATCAGTATACCGGCGGTAGTTTTTCAGTTCTTATCACATGTAATATTTAGGGTTGATCACAAGTTTTGATAATACTAAAAAAAAGCATAAAAATAGACAGACATTTTTGATTTTATTTTATTAAATATTCAAAATAGTCGTCATAATTATTAATATGAAGTTTCGTCCTTTCTAACAATTTGTCAAACGGTTTGTTAAACTCTTCTTTTGGAATATTTGAAACTATCTTTGGGACCGTACGAGTCAATAATTTTGCATTAGTTTGATTAGTTAAACAAATTGCTTGATATAATCATTTAGTCAAAAATAATATGGCTCAACATCTAGTAAAAACAATGGATGTGACATAATATTAATATATTGTTGTGTCAAATAATTAATAACACGTGAATAAGTATTAGGTCCAGCATTGCCATGAAGGAATTTTATACATTTTGCGTTTGATAATTTTCTTTGTTTCCATATTTCATTGACAATAGGCTTGAGACAGTGTCCTATATAATAGTTGTAATTTATAGTCTTGTCTTTATCTAGTCTATTTAATAAGAACATGATTATTTGATTTAAAGAGTATAGAAAACAAAATTTTTGATTCAAATCTACTTCGATGAACAATAATCATTGGTGATTCACCTTCACTAACTGAGGTTGCGTTAGTTAAACTGCGTCCAATCTATCTATGGTAAATCTATGTCTCATCATCTGTAATAAAAATACATAATGACCATGCTTTATCATGAAATCTCGGCAAACTTTCATGAAAAATTCTAAATCGTTCTTGCTTTTTTTCATCATTGAGTTGATTAGACATTAGACGTTATGTAATTTGACTTATCGTTAGACAATCGTGAATAATTCGTTCTATTAAACCATGCGAGAGAGAGAGAGAGAGAGAGAGAAGTTTCAGCTGTAATATCATCATAAGTTAAATGTAAATCATTGCTGATAATCTTTCGTATTAATTCAAGATTTATATCTGTCAACTCGAAAATCAGACTATCAAATTAAAGGTCATCATTGACATCGTCTCTTCTTTCATGAAATGTTTGACCCATCGTGTCATTGTTGAATATGATGAGATGTTAGACACTAATGCTATTGCCAGTTCTTCGTGAATTATCGTTGCATCTATTCCTAAAATAATTCGCATTTGAATATAGTATCAGTTAAATTCATTATATATTTTTCAATTTTTTAAAATAAAAATCGGATTATATCTAAAAGAATATCAGAAAAAAGATCTATTATACGTTTATATTATTATAGGCAATACATTCTACTATTTATTCTTAACTCTTTAATGTTAGCTGGTTTATAAAGTTGTTGGCAATATAATGAAAAACTTTGACCAAATCTAAGCACTTTCGATTACTCTATTAAACAAAAGCTCTGTCAAATTTGACTTTTTAATTTTTTTTTAATTTCGAAATAGAAGAAAAGGAAAAAAAAAGAAATAGCAGGAATGGAAGTACTCTAGGAAAAAAAGGAGAATATTTTAAGACGAAGAATAAACAAGACAATAAAGGTATTTGAAACTATGACAAAGAAGAAAATCGATTCTTCTAGCCTAAAAGCTATAAATGTAAAGCAAGAACGACAATTAAAAGGATAAGCAATGGTTGAATATTGTCGCATGGAGGTTATGTCCATGGAAAAAACACAGCATTGACAATAAACGTGCAAAATGATAAACAAGAAAAAAAGGATAGAGTAACTTTTAATAATTGATGCATGGATCTATTGGTGCTGTATATTCTTGAACAACACCTCCGAAATTGTTTATATTACCAACTGGAAGTGACGCATATGAAGCAGCGTTTGTCAGATATTCACCACCAGTATTGATTGCTACACCGGCACCTGTTCCATAGCTACCTATTGATTGAGATCTTTGAACACCCAAATTTATATTTCGGTGACGAAGTTGCTGCAGCATTTGTTGTTCAACTTGATCAGTTCTTTGAACAATATCATAGGCTGGACGTCCAAAACGTTGTAATAATGCTGTTTTATCTGTCCTTTGCCAACTAGGATTAACAGTTGTATCGAGTACTTCAATTGGACCTGTACAATTAATTAGTCCATCGTTGAATACTGATGAACTATTTGCTCCAACTACATTAGTATAAGTTTCATATACTCCACCACCTTGGTTTAAATTGTATGGAGCAGCCTGTTGAGTATATCCATATATGTTTGGAACAGTTACATCGTATACTGGTTCTGGTACTGGATAGCTATTTAATATTTCTTGAGCTGAGCTAGTAACATATTGATGCTCTTGTTGCGTTGGCATATAGCCATAATTAATACCACCAGCATGTCCAGAAACACGACCACCGTAAGCGACAGGTAAGTTGTCTCGATAGACATATTCTTCTCTAATCGTTCTAGCACCACCCACATTTCCTACTCCCACACCAACAGTACGTATTGGTACTGGAACAGGTCGTTCACGATCGATGATGATTGGTCGTTGTGTTACAGGCACTGGTCTATCAACAAGTACAGGTCGAGCAACATGTATGACTTGAGGACGTACAATAACACCTATTAACGAAAAATTAATTGAAAGTTTTATTTACGTATCATAATAATTGAGAACTTACGTTCTCGTGGAACGAAAACAGGTTTAATGACAGGCACGTAGACATTACGTGGAACATAGATAACTTGTGGTGCAGGTGCAGGTGCAGGTGCAGGTGCAGGTTGCGGAATATAAGGAGTTGGAAGAACTTGTGGTATTATTTGTGTATGCGTCACGGAATCGGCTGTTATAGGAAGAGAAAAAAAATTATGAAATATAATTTAATATGTTATTTTACTTTGTCGTGGCATATAGAAGACCGGTTGAATAGGTTGTACAATAACTCGAACTTCACCAGATCCTCGTTCCCTTTCAATGATTTCACGAGTATGTTGTGTTTGAGTACCACCGTCTTGTCCAAACAATTGTATTTTGGTACTTAGACCTTGTGTTATACGTCTACATATTTTTTAATAAGTAGAGAAAAAAAAACAAAGTAATAAAAAATAACAACGCAAAACATGTAAACACTTTACTCGATAGCTAGCAGAACGTCGCTACGAAATCGTTCAAGATCAAGTGCTGTAGCATGTTGTGGGCTCCGTGTACGTGAACGTGAACGTGAATGAGAATGAGAACAACTACGTGATTTTACAGGTGTTCGAGACTTTTAAAAGAAGATTTCATTCTATCTATGTTCTACTTTTAATAATAAATTCTTACTCTGGGTCGTCTTTGCCAAACTTCGATAACTGTTGGTCGACTTGTGACACGTTCTTCTGAGTAATCGCTATGATTAAAAGCAGAATACGGAGCATAGTGTTATTTGACAGAAAAACATTTGATGACTTACTCGCCTCCTCCATAGATATAACCGCCACCGCCACCACTACCATAACCACCACCACTAACATAACCGCCACCACTACCATAACCACCACCACTACCATAACCACCACCACTACCATAACCACCACCACTAATATAACCACCAGAGCTCGGTTCAACAATATAATCAGCTATAATTTGACCACCCGATGCAAAACCATAACTTGATCCTATACCGGAAAATCCACCCGCACCATACGACCCAACTAATGAAAAAATATTAGGATGTATGAACAAAATGCAAGATATAGATGTAAAACAAAATACTCACGGGTACCATAACCTGCATCTACTTGTCCATTGTATGCAATAGTACCAGGTGGACATGGACCACAATTGCCAACTGGCAAACTCACTGGTCTCCATCCAGGTGGACAAGGACCTAGTACTGGTGCTGGTGCTGGCAATGCTGGAAGAGGATAAGGTCGGCCACGAGAGCGTGAACGATATACTTTCTCATGGCCTTGAACTTCTATTCTGCCCCTGAATTCGAAACCAGATGGTGGTCCTTGAGGATAGCGGTTGTTAGGACCATGTTCAATAAAGATTATATCATCGTTTCCATGACCACCACCAGAAATGGTTGTATGACCTTGAATATAACACGATTGATTTTTTTAACCGTTGCTAAAAAACTCACCACCATGATGATGATGATGATGATGATGATGACCACTATGGTGATGTCGATGATGAGATCCGTGGCTGACTCTAGCTTCAGCTCCAACTGGTGATATTGATGGGCGTACATGCGATACTTCATTATTTAATGCACTCGAAGAACGCTGACCAACTAGTTGCCTTGCAAAAAAGAAAAATTATACATTCGATAAGAAAAAAAAGAGCTATTATATTTATAAATTAAATTAGAATTAAACTTACTCAGGTATTCTGTTAGTTTCATCACTAGCACCCGTGTATTGTTGTTGTTGTTGATAAAAACCTCCTACACCGGCGGCACCAAATGGTACACCAAACCCAGTACCTACTGATGCACCTTCAGCTATAATCAAAGAATTTTTAAAAGCTTTTCTTAATTTTTATTTCAAATCAAGATCACACTATGAAACTAATACTGACTATGATCTACTTTATGTATTGATTCATCACGGCTTAATGGTGATATACCAACAATACCATGTTTGTTCTTACGATGACGATGGTGGCGACGACGATGACGACGAGTGGGCAATTGCTGTTCTTCATATCCAGCTCCAAGAGGAACGGCGCCAGCATTGGCAAAGCGCGGATCAATCATCATGAATCAGCAATAATAAAGTTAAGCAAATGGCAAGACCAGCCCAGTAATTAATCTACAAAAAAAAATGAAACAATAATATTCATAAAGTATTCATGTTTCTTTATATTTATCTTATGCTGAGTATTTTTCATTACTCGATCATTGCATTTTCAAGGACAGTGCTCAAATTCATAATTTTGTAGTGTTTCACTACGTCCAATATCAATCTATATATATATATGTCGAGAACATCGGTACATATTTACTTTTATCTCATGATACGCTCATTATTATATGAATAATTACCGAAAAACAATAGAAAAAAAATCTATTGGCATTCATGTATAACTATTAACTCACCTTCATGCAATTCGGTCAACCGCACATACACATAAACATAAATATGTACGTGGCCTGATTATGACAGATAAAATATAGCCTTTCTCCAATCATTACTAACAAACAATGGTGACAATCATAGTTCTCAATAATATCAAATGGATACCTGTTTAAAGGTATGCATATTCGGTGTAGAACGAAGAAGAAATAGGTAAATCAAACGCTATGGGGCCGCAACTACTACCTATCCTTTGCATTTTATCTGAAGCGTATCGATTTGGATGCAACGACTATAGAAGGAATAGAGAGACGAAGAAAAAAAAGACAGAAGGGAAGAGACCAAAAAAAACATTTAATATGAAACGAATAAATTTGTGATACCATCACGAAGATATATCTGACACACAACAAAATAGATATATATATATGTATATAGTTGAAAAATGCTTGAATTTTTTACTAATACTGTATCATCACAATCATAATAGGAAAAATATATCTCACACTCATTATAACTAATAATACTTCGTACAATAACAAAATGAAAAACACAAAAAAAAGTATGATTATTTTCAATGTCGTTGTTATTCCCGATGCTCGTTTCTCATATTAAACTGTATCGTTATTATTATATAAGAATAACAAAAAATAAAAAAACACAATTTAAAAATATCTATCAGTTTCTGACAAGGCCTTTGAAAAAAGACTCATTAATATATCGTCAAAAATAACACGAGATAGACGTACTCGATTGGATAACACACTGATGAGGACTGTGTATATCCCGATGTATAATTTCAGGATATCTTATAAAAAATACCGGTAATATGTTTTATTACCATCATTAAAAACAGTTGAAGATGTTTCACAAACACTAATCTATATGTCGGATATAGCAATGATATAGGTTACTCATAGTTAATTATAAAGAAAAACAGCAGTTAATATCATGATAATTTTCCTATCTCTCGATGTAATATAAAAGATAAACCTCTGGTTGCACAGGATACTATCAATCTTGAATGCTTTCCATGTAAGTCTCATTTCTGCTAGTAAACCAGTAAGTTTCTAATAGAGACAAATGAGTAATGGTGGCTACCTAACAATCAACAATCCTTTATTGTAATGAATCTGTGTATATTTACCTATTTATGAGTGCAATAATGAGTAGTATAGCATATTATTATGATATATTATATATGGCTCATCTTTTTCTTTAAGATGGGGTGGCTAAATAACTAGAATAACTTTTTTCTCTTTCTTTTTTTGTATTTCTATATAAGTAATACGCAATGAAGCATGACCAACCCTAGCCTTGTATATACCTTTCTTTTCTTTTTGTGGATTTTTCAACGAACACCAACGCAAAGGTAGGGCTAAAATAAAAAGAAACATGCAATAAAGCCAATATTTTTTTGTGGTCATGTGGTAAAGCTGAAATCAACAATAAATACTCACCTAAAGTATTAAATAACGTACTTATTTGAGATACAAGTAATGTAAATATATTCGTAGGATGAAGAGGGTTCATATCAGAACAAAATAAAGTAAAAAGACACAAATCATAATGTGTTTTGTCATTCACACAAATCTGTGCAGTAATTCACATAAATAAGAATCAAATAGCAATGACAATAAGCAATGACATATCTTTTGTTAGATTATCTGTGACTATGTAAAAAAAATCAAAAAATATTTGTCCAGACAAGGTCGTTGATATATATTTATCTCAAAATAGTACAATGATATGATTGCTTCTTTCTATATTAACAAACATTGATATTGTAAACAAGGCAAAATATTTTACTAAACGCATATTTCTTTCTTTATTTATACGAGCAAATTTGTTTATTTGTGAGAAAAAAAAATTCGATTTATTCCCTCATTATATTTTAAAGTATATTTTAATCTGTAAAAAGTTAAAACCTTTTTCGTTTGTTTATGAAAGTATTATTAAACGAATAAAACAACAAATGTTTTCTTCTTAATGAATAAAATAATTTATGATGTATTGAGTTTTATAACGAAATGATTTCAATTAACTACAATCATTTCTTTATAACTCGTTCGAAAATAACAAGATAATTATCATTATTAATCACATGTTCACGCATCGCTAAAATCAAATTGCTATTTATTACCTTCATTCTTACTCAAACTTGAGTTTAATGCATAATTACTTATTTTCTTATTACAATCATTCAAAAAGTATTTGACTACAATTCTTAAATTCATTCTAAATTATTATTAGAAAAATAAAAACAAGTCAATCATATAAATCAAGGACGATATTCATTAACACGCTTTCTTATTACAAATCGATTATCAAAATAATCGAAAGATGGTTTATGATACATATCTTGCAGGTTATGTTGTCCTTCACGGTTTTGATCTTCACTTTGATTTGTTTAATCATTTTCATCATTCATGGCAGATTTCCTTTGAGATATAACTTTACTCTTTTTTATATTATTATTGATAATGATTCAACTAATCTAATATCCGATGCTCTTAAAACTTCAGCTATTACTTGACTTACCATGCCAGTTTTATCGAAATGTGGCTTTAATTTATATCTACTATGTTTTCAAAATAATTTTCTATTAGTTAAAATTTTGATAAAAGTTCTCCAACAATGTAAAATCCTATAATTATACATGATACAAAAAAATATTAACATTAATAATAAATTTAAGACTTGAACTTTGCACCTTGTTATCCAAATGTTTGTTAAATACGAATCATAATTTCTTTAACTTATGTTACACTATATTCACATTAAAATTATCGTATTATTGAAATAGAATAGAGAATGAAAAAAATGTCAAACTAGTATTAATTCTTAAGCCAATGAAATCAGCGACATTTTTTTAATCATCTTTAACAAGTAATAAAAGATATGTTAAAAGAATCTATTTTCAAAATTTGATTTCATCTGGATGAAGAAAATCAACAAATAATTTATAATCAAATCACATTAATTCTTGCGAATATGAATTAACTATATTATTTCTTCATTGATATCATTATTATTATATATCTATTCTTTGACGTATTCATTTTTCTAGTATTAATAATTGAAATATTTTCTATATTCAAATACTTTTCCATTACAATTTGATTTAATATCTAAAGGTTCCTTATAAAACGAAATAGTTTATCATATATGACATTTCAATATTTTATTTGTTTGGTTCTTGATGCATTCTATTTAGGTTAAGTGTAATAATGATTCTTTTTGTACAAGCATATTTTGTTGTTTTATTGTTCCGAGATGGGCCCATAATGGATTTTTTGAAGCACGAGTATCTACTTTTACTCGCTCAGTTCTATTATTGTTGATCGAAACACTTGTTCAATAAGTTCAACTATTTCATTAAGAAAATAAAATTATTGTTCGGCTTCCTGAAACGTACCATTTATCATTTATCACATTTGTTGTTCGCCATTTTTTTTAATATTCAATTTCAAAAGACTAAAAAAAGGAAATACAATTCTTTCTATTAAATAAATTAAATTTAGTTTTTTTTTGTTTTTTTTAAACAACTTCAACTGTTTTTCTTCAATCTTATGAAACAATATGTAAATTACATAAAGCAGAAGTAACAAGATGAAGAAAATTACCAGAAATTGTATAAGATAAAAAGAACATCAAGTAAATAATTAAACATTTCATTAGCATAAACAAGACTATAGTCATTTAGTATCAAATTTAGGTGGATTTTTTTCAATTTTTATTAGTTTTTTTCTCTCTTCTATTTTTTGTATTCAGTAACAGGCATTTGTTACGTATTAAGGCTATAGTAATATACAGACGAGAACCGACTACAATTGGCTCTAATTGTTAAAAAATCATAATTACTATTAAATAGAAGTGATGAATCATTTTATGCATCCGTGACATTTTTCTTACCTTGATGTGTTTATATTACTCTGATGTATTTCTTATTTGAATATTTATTTTACAGGTGGCGTCTAATCAATAGAACAAAATGTTTTTCTCATTTTTTAAGTACTTTCCGATATATTAGAAACTTCTTATTCGATAGAGAATATCATCCCTTACAAAAATTCTGTCTTTGTCTTTTTTGTCGGCGTAATATTTAAAACATGAATACCAATCCACTCGTTCAGCTGAAACGGCGTAAAAACAAAAAAGTTCCGATAATACTTTCGCTGAAATTTCAAATATGCTGCGAAATTCTCCACGAAATTTTGTGTCTTTTGATATATGTTTTAGGATTTTAGAAGAAATGTAGGCGAGAAAAATTTTTGAAGTAAAAAGTGCGAAAAAACTGGAGAAAACATTTTCTGGCAGAATCCTGCATGTCGTCAAAATAGGTTCAGCTTTGACGATTAATCGTGATAATTGAGAGACGTAACGATTAATCGTGATCGATATGTAATTTTCCGGATATATTCCAATAAATTACAATTAATGTGATTATTTGGAAAGATGCGATGAATCGAAAATTTTAAAACAAACTTCAATGGAAAGTGTTTATTTATAAAAATTATATTTTTTCTTTTATTTTGATCAATCTCAATAATACAATGAACATTATGTACCCATGTCGCACGTTTGTGTTCACACTACCAACGATATACCGCTGGCACTTATAAGAATTACTGATAGTGCTTACGACTTATGACTCCAGCAATAACGATTGCAGAAAATGTTT